AATCACTTTGTTAACACGGATGGCTTAAGTTTTTTGTTGTGTTTTGTTTTTTGTTTTTAGAAATGGCTTAAGTTTTATAAAGTCCTTTGAATTCTAGTGGCTCTGAGTAGTTCCTTTACATTAACATTACTTACCTTTTCACAATTTACAGAAAATGAACATCTTGCTTCATTTATGTTAGGATACAGTCACACTGATTAAGTCATTTCTTTGTTCTCCATTTGTACTTGTTTCTTAAATTAGTTGATTATCAATTAGTGTATTTCATTTCACCTTTTAAAATCTGAAATTGGGATGCATGTTGTAATCTATGATGTCTTATGATTTCCTCATTCTGTGTAGTAGTTCTGGTTTAGTTGTATACAAGTGAACAGTAAGAATGCTAACATTAATAGAATATTGTGAATGGTTTATAAGAAAACCCAGAAAATAATGGTATAATACCCTAGGAGTAAAGTGATGTTGATGAGAAAGTGGAAAAAGCAATAAATTACATGCGTTCAGCCACACTGCCAAAGCAGGAATCAAAAGTAGTTCATCTCTTACTCAAATTGATAAGGAAGAAATAAAAGGTTAAGTCAGCGCTAAATAAGTACAAAAAGAAGATAGGAAGAAATAGCATGTTACCAACATTCTTGATACCACAGAGGATGGTATTGAAATATAATGAGTATTAGCCACTGATACAAACAGTGGTCTCACTGGGAAGAATCTCAAAGTATTTTCCGTTATGTATTTTTCACTCATGTGCACAAAAGTGATATTTGATAAAAATCGAATTGTGAAAAGAAATATCTCAAGTCAAGATTAAAGTAAAATCTTGAGTGGTAAAAAAACCATGGGATAGAATGACAATGATTGAATTCTTTTTCCCTTTCTTAGAGGTATCTACTTTAATATTTTAGATTTGAAGAAATACCCTGTGGATCATTTTTATAGCCCTCCTCCAGTCATAGTTGTTACCATCTAAAAAAAATCGGGCGATATGGAACCCACAGCTTTTTTTTTTTTTTT